GGGCACCCCGCATACCTCTGGGGCCAGCCCGCTCCCCTCGCTCTCCACGCGGGGGCACAAAAAGTGGAGGGCCCCGGCCCTGCTGCGGGGCTTCCCTTCCGCTGAGGAGCCGCTCGACGCCAAGCAGGAGACGGGAAGTGCCGATCCCAGGCTGGGCCTTTCCCCGTGGGCCGGGCTTCAGGGGGTGAGGGTCTGCGGGTGCTGCCGGTGGCGCAGGGCACGGGCCTGGCCAGTGACGCCCTGCAGAGCGGGGTGCTGGCTGCAGAGCGGGGCGCTGGCTGCAGAGCCGGCCCGGAGGCAGCTCTTTCCCCCTCTGAAGTCCCAGCCGTCTGGGTGGGCAGGCATCAGGGCCGGCTCCTCTCCCCCGCTGCTGGCTGTTGGGGTCCCGGGAGCAGGTGTGGAGGCGCTGCCTCTGCGGGACCACCCGGGCCGGCATGCTCCTGCCCTGGGCCGGCTCTGCGCACAGCTGGCAGGGAGCTGTGGGAAAGGGGCTGTCTGCCTCTGTGCAGCGGTGGGAAGAGCTGCCTGTGCTGCCTGTGCCCAGAGGGCTGCCTCCCGCGCCGCTCACGCCACAGAGCATCTCTTGTTCTTGCCTCTTCAAGTGCCTACAAGAGGTTCAGTGAACTGCTGCCAAAGGAGGAGAGGGAGAATGCCTGCTCCACGCGGGTTCCCAAGAGCCAGATCCTGACGTTGCCTGAGCTGCGGGTACGGTGCCTGGCAGACAGCGGGACTCGCTGCTGCTCCCTGGGTCTGGGCATGTTTGGGCAGGGCCCTGTTTACCCGCCGCAGCCCTTGCGGTGCCAATGCTCTGCCATCTTGCTGCTCCAACAGTCACCTGGGGAAGCTGTTCACTTACTGCACGTCAGCTGTGCCAACAAACAGCTTCCTTGTCCCCGCTGTGCCACGGAGGATCCTGGAGATCCCTCCTGTGCAGGGCTGCTGTCCAGGGGGGCACAGGACAGGCACAGTCATGCCGTGTGCGACAGAGTGGCAGCAGAGTGGGGTACCCGCTCGTGCGTGGGGTTGGCACCAGCCTGCAGCCGGTGTCTGCCACGCAGGAGCCGGCCCAGCACTGCCCAGCCCTGCCCTGAGCCGCTCCTGTGTTGGCAGGCAAACCCCTTCCAGCACCGGATCTGCCGGGTGTTCTCCACCTCAGACAATGGGGACGACAGCATGTCTTTTGAAGACTTCCTCGATATGCTGAGCGTCTTCAGCGACTCCGCTCCCTCAGACATCAAATCCCACTATGCCTTCCGCATCTTTGGTAATGCTGGGGGCAGATGCCATGTCCTGGGGTCCCCACACCTTGGGATGGGGCGGGGATGAATCCATGTTCAGGAGGGCTGACAGTGCCCTCGGAGCACCCAAGGGGATGGCAGCTTTAGGAACTCCCTGTGGGAACTGCTGTTTTGGCGCCATGATGTGCACCGAGAGGTGCAGTGTGGAGCCTGCTGTGTCCTCAGGTTGCCAGGCCCTTTCCTCACCAAGTGCAGGTGCTCGTGACTCTCTGGGGTCGCTGCAGCCCTGCTGAAACGTAACTTTCCTCTCCTCAAAGACTTTGATGACGATGGGACGCTGGACAGAAAGGACCTGGAGAAACTGGTCAACTGTCTGACAGGGCAAGGCGAGGAGTCCCGGCTGAGCAACGCGGAGATGGAGCAGCTCATCCGAAACGTGAGGACTGTCAGGCAGGGCACAGGCTGCTGCACGGTCCCAGCCACACAGAGCTCACCACTCCCCTTTCCCTCCCCTCCAGATCCTGGAAGAGTCTGACATCGACAAGGATGGCACCATCAACCTCTCCGAGTTCCAGCACGTCGTCTCCCGCTCCCCGGACTTCACCAGGTACAGTGGTCTCCAGCGGCACAGCTTGGCCTGGGGGGTTCACGCACCCTGATCGCTGTGCTGGCGTTGGGGCAGAGCTCTTGGTGGCAGTAAGGCAAGGCTACCCTGTACGAGGTGTCTTGTAATGGCAGAGGGAACTGCATCCTATGCTAGCTCTGCAGAGAGCCTCTCCCGCGCAGGGTAACACTGCCTCCCTGTAGCACTGGGTGCTCACAAACTGTTTGCGTGTGACTCAGTGAGGAGGTGCACAACCTGTCATGTCTCTTGCAGCTCCTTCAAGATCATCCTGTGAGAGCCCTGCGGCTCTCCAGCAGAACTGCTCCTCCGGCTGTTGCAGCTCTTCGTGGTCTCAGACACTTCCTCTTTTAGTGAGCAGAGTGGCAGAGGGCCCCGCTCCTCACCAGCCCGGCAGTGCTGCACGGTGCCTTAGGCAGGACACCCTCCTGCTCCCCTTTCACGCCCAGCAGGCGAGATGGCGGGCGTCTCTGCAGCCTGCAGAGGTGGGGCCCTGGGAAGCTGCCTTGCCTGCAGCCGCTCTGCTCTCCCAGGATCAGATTTTAACTCCTTATGCAAACCAAGGGCAGCTCTGGGGGTGGGGGGAGGCACACAGAGGTGCTCCTGGCTGGGGGCCACGCTGCACCGAGCACAGCCCCTCTCTGCCCTCCGTACCAATTTGTGCCTTCCACTAGCAGACGGGGAGCTGCCTCTCCCCACCAAGCCCCTGCCCAGCTCTCCCGTCTTCAGGGGAGCCTCCCTGCTGCAACATGGATCCATCTCTCTAAGCAATAAACCAAATGTGGATCCGTTTCTCTGAGCAATAACCCAAGTGGCACTGTAGATGTGCCATCCCGGCAGCAGAGCTGCCCCCCCCCCCCCACCCCAAAAGAACACAAAACGCCT